CTGCATACTTTCCTCCATGTACATGCAGTTCCATTGAGGACTTCATGTTGAGTGTGGTTGGTCAGCCGGTTACAAATCCATTTGGTGGTGATGCTGTCTAACCCACATTCTTCTACTTTATCTAGTAGTAGGTTATGCTCTACCTTATCAAATACCATAACTGAAGTCCAAGTAAACTATATTGATGACATTCCTCTGGTCCACTAATTTTGTCACTTTGTCAAAGAATGCAATAAGATTAGTCTGGCATGATCTTTTAGGCAAACCCATATTGGCTTTTGGCTATTACTTTATTTACTTCTAGGTGTTCGATAATTCGTTGCTTGATTATCTTTTCCGGAATCTTTCCTGGTATTGAGGTAAGGCTGATAGGTCTGTAGTTTCCTGGATCTTTTTTTTTTTTTCCTTTTTTGAAGATGGGAACCACATCAGCTCTTTTCCAGTCCTCTGGCAGTTCCCCGGTGCCAGAGGACTGGAAAAGAGCTGATGTGGTTCCCATACTGGGGAATTGAAGTTGTTTAATGAGAACTAGAATCCACTTCATGTTGTGTGATGTATTTTTCTATTCTCTTTTCTCCAAGTCTTTCCCTATAAAGACCAGAGAACCTGTGAGAAAGAGGACTCCATCCAATCCCTCTCGGGAGCTGTGTTCCATGAGGATCTATCATGAATCCTCAAGTCAGGACATCTCAAATGGTAATCAAAAGTCCACCCATTCCCAAGAGAGATTCCAGCTGCCTTACCTTCTTTGTCTCTTCCCTTCTGTAGAATGCCTCCTGCTATTTTATTAATTATCCATTTAAACTTTCTGTCTCCCTCACAGGGAAGAACAGAATGAATTTGACTCCTTTTTATGGTGGTGCTGAGAGAGTGGTTGAAGCTTCAACTGAAGTAAGAGAGGAATAGTAAAACATAAAATGTTCAGAATGTGAATGTTTGCTGAATAGGGATCCTATTAGTAATTTTTTGGCATGGAATTGTGGAAGACTACTCAATAATAACTGGAATAATCACATGGTCCCCTTACAGTTTCTAACATGCCTTGTTTATAATCAGTGATAAGAAAAATACTGGAAACAGGTTAAAAGATAACCCAGATTCTTAAAGTCCAAATAGAAGGCCGGATCAAGGCTCTTCAACCTTTAAAGGGATTTCTTGCACTCTTGATTTGGGCCTTGAATTTTGGACCAACAATTCACCATTGGAAAGGATGAGAAATGCTCTTTCCAAGCAAGTTTCTCTTCTTCAGCCATTGGGTTGGAGCACAAGGAGTGGATTCTTTGTAATCTGAAGAGCAGCAGAAACAGGGCTTCTGTGTCTTTGTCCATATAAATCCCTGAATGCCTCTCTTTAATGACCATTTTGAGCATGGATTATTTGTTCTGGGAACACATGAAGCCTTTTACTTAAATGGTAAAAAGAACGCACATGCGCGCACACACACACACACACTGCAAACACTGGGTGGATTGGAGTGAGTTAGAGGTGGAAATTCCATGGCCCATACCAGTTGATTCTCTCCAGATGCTGAGTCTTTTTGATGCACCGGGATAGACAGACTGGCGGGCAGACAGACAGACTCAGACAAAAAGTGGGATTCCTTCCTTTCACTGCTGATTTTTGTTCTGCTTTCTTCTCATTTAGGAAGGTCTTGTGTCCTTTAAGGAGGTGGCTGTGTATTTCTCCGAAGAAGAGTGGACTCAGCTGGATGATAATCAAAAAGCACTATATCGGGAAGTCATGCTGGAAAATCATAGGATTGTGGCCTCTTTGGGTGAGAATATACTTTTTATCAGATTAAAAACTACTTATTTTGAAAAGAAAATAAAGAAGATACAGTAATATGATTAATGGATAAGAAAAAAGTAGGATAAAATTTAAAAAAGAGAAAAGAGAAAGTAATAGTTATATCTTCCCCTCTTTCTAAGGTTACATCATTGTTTCCTCCTTTACATAATTTATCCTTTTTAATCTTCAAACGTAAATTTGATCACAAGTTCTTTTTTCTGCCAAAAGTCCATTGGGGTTTCCAATCACTAACAAATATAGATACTATCCTTTCCCTGATAAGAGTCATCATTAGTCATCATTGAGTATTCCGTGATCTTCTTCAACCATTCCATCATCTAATTATTGTAGAGTCCTTCTAGCTTTTTGTTTGTAATACTCTCACTATGATTATCATACTCCGAAACAATCTTCTATGAAAGTTGATTAGTGCCAAAATAAAGTGTTCTGATTTCAGTTGGATATTAATCTTTATGCTTTATGTTGTTGAACAATATTTGAGAACTATGCTATTTTTCCGTTATTAATTTCATTTGGTATTTCCACAGCTCAAGTTCCAATTGCTCTCTATATGTTATCCATTGTCTTTTCTTGCAGTTTTTTTTCTTCTGAAAGCCATTAGGATGTTTTAGGGCACAGTCTAAGTTTCTATCTGTTTCATATTTTCAATGTGGTATTTGTAACATGGTTTTGAAACCTAGATTGATCCTAATGTATCATACCACAAATATCCATGACGTCCAAAGAACTGTGTGTGTGTATATATATATGTGTGTGTGTGTGTGTGTGTGTGTATATATATATATATATATATATATTCTTTTTATATTACAGCAACTCCCACTTCTTATACAAACCTTACAGCAGAATACAAAGTATAATTTCAAATTGGGAAACCAAATCTTTCCATTTCCTTTGAAATTTGGAGAATTTGATATTTAATCCATGATTTTCTCTTGCCATGTAAATGTATCTTCCAAAATTTTAATCAAGAAAGTCCCGATCAAATTCTTGAAGAGCTTCTCTGTATCTAAAAGGTTTGAAACAGGTTGTTTTTCATTATTTTCAATCTTCCTATGTTTCACTCTTTTAAACTTATTTTCATTTTACTTTTCTTGTGAAGGTAATAATGGGGAGGAAGATGAAGATTCCAGAGAACTATTCAAAATGATCAGTCGTAGATACAGTTTGAACAACCCTACAATTTTAATGGAAGTAGGAAGCCATGAGAGAAACGAGTCAAATAATTGCAATCAGGAAAGTTCATCTTCTGTCCTTGAAGCAATGAAAGCCTCTGTGGCCCAGCAAGAAAAAATAAAAACGAAATAT